TAAGGAGAAGCAGTCGACCAAGACATCGACTTCGGCGAAGGACGCCGACTCCCCTGCTGGCGGCAAGGGGCGAGACGACAAGACGGCGTCGTGCTCGCTAGTCGGCGTCGTGGAGCCGACCATCTCTCTGGCGCCGGAGGCCAGAGAGGACTTCCAGGCGGTGGCGGCAGCTGTGCAGGCGAACCCGGCGGTGGTCCTGCTCGACAGCGGTTGCTCCCACCACCTGATGGGGACGAAGGAAGCCTTCGTCGACTTGCAGCCGAGCGGCGCCATCAAGCATGTGCGCGGCTTCAATGGGGCGCTGCAGGATGTCCAGGGCTGCGGCACCGTCGCTCTGCAAGGAGAGGCCGGGAAGGAGGTGCTCATCCCCGACGTGTTGTACGTCCCGGGTGTGCGAGCCAACCTGCTGTCGGCCGGCCAGCTGAAGGAGCATGGCGTGAAGCTGCAGGAGGACGGAGACGGCATGCTGCTTGTCTCGGCAGCAGGAGTGGTGCTCAGTCGGGCGACGTACACCGGGCGTGTCCTGTGCACCGACCTGCGTCCCTGCTCAACGCGGTCGACGTCGCCCATGACGGAGGTTGTGGCTCTGCGGGCGATCGTCTCGAAGACGAAGTCGACGCCGGACCGGATACATGCGCGGCTTGCGCACGTCGGCATGGACACCATACGGAGCTCGGCGAAGAACGAGGTCGCCATTGGGCTGGACCTCAAGTCGGCGACGGACGCCGACTCCCCGTGTGTCTCGTGCATCGGCGGGAAACTGGCGCGGCACACCTTCTCCGACCAAGGCTCCGACGCTGACGACGTGCTGGCCGTCGTGCACATCGACCTGTGCGGGCCGTTCCGCGTGACTGCCAAGGATGGCAGCCTGTACTTCTTGCTGCTGAAGGACCGCAAGACCCGCTACGTGTGGGTGAAGCCGGTCGCCAAGAACTCAGATGCGTTGCAGGCATTCGTACAGTGGCTGGCGGTGGCTGAGCGGCAGATGAAGAAGTCGGTGTTGATGCTGCGCTCTGACCGGGGAGGGGAGTTCCTCGGGAAGCAGTTCACCGACTTCGTGAACGGCAAGGGGATCGTCCATGACCTGACCTGCCCATACACCCCGCAGCAGAACGGCATGGCGGAGCGGGAGATGAGGATGGTGGTGGAGTCGGTGCGGACAATGCTGCTGCACATGGGCGTGCAGCACCACTAGTGGCACCTCGCTCTGCGGCAGGCCGTCTTGGTCCGCAACTGCCTTGAGAGGTCGACGCTGCCGCCGGGGACGACGCCGTACCAGCTGCTGACTGGGAAGAAGCCCGACTTGTCATTGGCGCGGGTGTGGGGCTGCATGGCGCAGTTACTTGTCCCTGAGCAGCAGCGTAGTAGGAAGCTGAAGCCGAAGGCCAAGTGGGGCCTGCACCTTGGCGTGTCGGCGGCGAGCAAGGGCTGGGAGCTCCTTGACGTCGCCACTGACCGAGTGGTTACCACGTCGGACGTGGTGTTTTACGAGGAGATGTCGCTGGCCGAGTGGAAGACGGAACATGGGCCGGTGTCCGGCCGCTCGCCGTCCACCCCGCCCTCTGACACCTCGTCGGCGACGCTGCCGCTGCTTGCCGAGGTTGGTGAGCTTGCTACTGAGGACGTCGGGGACGTCCGCGCCTCTACCCCTCTCCCTCTGACACCTGCCCCTCCCCTCGTGGCCGACCTGCGTGGGCTGACCTCGGTGTCGGCCTCCGGCGATGAGGGGAGACGTGGGACGCCGCCTTCGGCGCCGGCCAAGTGCATCGCCGGTGGCCGACGTGACGAGCAGCGAATCGACGTGGGATTGCAGTCGACAAGGGAGGAGCAGGTCGAGGAGCAGCAGCCGAAAAGGGAGCAGGCTGCCGTGAAGCCGACCACGAAGCAGTCGGCGACCGGGCCGTCGGCAGGGGAGCCGACCATAGGGGAGAAGTCGGCTGGGAAGCCGACCGCAGTGGAGCAGTCGGCTGGGACGCCGGCTGAAGAGCAGCAGGACGCTGAGGGCAGCGACGACAGCGACGATGGAGGGGATGCCGAGGAGGCCCAGCCGGGACCACGGCGTTCAGGCCGACTTCGGAGGTCGCCTGACTTCTTCGTCCCCGCTGCCTTCACCACGGTGTACGACGTGGACGATGACAACGACCTGCTGTACGATGACGCCGAGGAGGATGAGGAGTTTCCGGAGCTCGACCCCGACATGCTAGCCAACCCCGAGCACCGTTGGGACATCTCGACGATGACGGTGAAGGAGGCGCTGGCGAGCTGGAAGGGCCCGGCGATGAAGGCCGCCATGGAGGAGGAGATTCGCAGCCTCATACTTGGGAGCTGGTCGAACGCCCACCGGGGGTGAACGTCATGAAGAACCGGTGGGTGTTGACGATGAAGTACCACATCGACGACACCGTCGAGCGAGAGAAGGCGAGGCTGGTCGTGAAGGGCTTCACACAGGTGTACGGCGCCGACTACGACAAGACGTTCGTGCCGGTGAGCAGCTACGTCACGCTGAGGATCTTCCTCAGCATCGTCGCTGTCCTCAACCTCAACCTGATGCAGCACGACATGAAGAACGCCTTCCAGCAGAGCAAGCTCGATCGGGTGCTGTACATGTCCCAGCCGGACTACTTCAACGACGGAACCGGCCGGGTGTGTAAGCAGCTGAAGAGCCTGTACGGGCTGAAGCAGTCGCCGCTGTTGTGGTACTTGGCGCTCAACGATGTGCTGGTCGGCGCCGAGTGGAAAAAGAGCCAGGTCGACGAGGCTTGTTACTTCAAGGTCGGCGAGGGTGGAGTAGCCTTCTGGGTGCTGGTCTACGTCGACGACCTCCTCGCCGCCAGCAGCAGCGCCATGATGCTGAAGGAGCTGAAGGAGCTGCTGGAAGCCGCCTTCGAGCTGCGCGAGATCTCGCCGGTGCAGAAGTACCTCGAGCTGGAGATCGTGCGCGACAGGTCGGCGGTGAAGCTGTGGCTGCACCAGTAGGGCTACCCCGACAAGCTGCGTAGGCGCTTCCTCGACGAGGAGCAGACCGGGCGCACCCCGAAGACGCCGGTCTCGGCCGGTGCCTACGCGGAGCTCACCTTCGATGACGAGGAGGCGCAGGAACGGCAGGAGGAGGAGTACCGGCAGAAGGTCGGCTCGCTGCAGTTCGCGGCGACGACGACGAGGCCGGACGTCGCCTTCGCCTGTAGCAAGCTGGGGAGCGGCCTCACGGTGAGGAGCAACCAGCACTGGCGCGAGGTCGACCGCTGCCTTGCCTACCTCGCCAACACACGTGACACTGCCCTGGAGTTCGGCGGTGGACTTGAGTCGCTGGAGCTGGTCGGCTACGTGGATGCCGACGATGCCAGTGACAAGCAGAACAGGACGAGCACGAGCGTCTACGTGTTCGTCTACGGAGGGGCTGCAATCTCCTGGTCGAGCCAGCGCATCAAGTGCGCGACGCTGTCGTCGACCGAGTCGGAGTACGTGGCGGCCACTGAAGCTGGCAAGGAGGGACGCCGCCTTCGCTTCCTCCTCGCAGAGTTCCGGCAACTGGACGCCGCGAAGCCGACTGTCCTGCGCGTGGACAACAAGTCGGCCATCACGGTCGCCGAGGGCATGGGGTTGACGGGAAACCTCAAGCACATGGAGCGGCAACACCCCTGGCTATAGCACATGGTGAGGCACGGGAAGTTCTCGCTGCAGTACATCCCGACCGCTGAGCAGCAGGCCGACTTCCTGACAAAGGCGCTGCACTATCCGGCCTTCAACCGGTGCTCCGTCGCCATCGGCCAGGTGCGCTTGGCCGACGTTGGCAACGAAGTCGATGACGTGCAGCAGTAGGTGCCATGCCCTTTTGCATGGCTGGTGCGGTGGACAACGAGCTATGTGTTGGGTGCACTTCGACGAGCTAGTCTCCGAGCTGTACTGCCGTGTGGGTTGGGTGCCCAAGCGTGAACGTGGCAGGGGAGTGTCAACGGGAGTTGGGTATTGGCCCCGTCCTCGCTTGGGTGGAACCGACTTTGTGGTCGGGTGTGAGGGGAGCAGCCGACCTGCAGCAATGGCTGAGTTGGTCGACGAGGAGGTCGACCTGCACGGGGGACCACTGCACGGGCGCCGACTTCACGGTGGCGCCGACTTCAGGGAGGTCGACTTGGGAGTCGACCTGCGGAGGACGTCGACTTGGTGAAGCCGACTTCGGCGGTCGGCTAACGTACCGCTGGTCGACCTGCGGGTGGTCGACTGGACCTGGTGGTCGACGAAGGAGGGACCGACGTCGACCTTGACGCAAGACGCCGAGCAGTTGGGCGTCGAGCAGCGAGGCGTCAACTTCGTGACGCCAGCTTCGGGTGGCCGACATGGAGCTGGTTGACCAGAGGGGACGTCGGCCTGGAGGAGGTCGACATGGAGGTGGTCGTCGACTTGGGAGGTCGACGGGCACGAACGGGAGCTGCTGGTCGACGTGGTTGCGTGGTCGACCAAGTTACCTGGGTGACGAAGTGATGCGGAGGAGTGCGACGGTCGCCCAGGCGAAGTGGGCGAGCCCGACCTCGGTGGTGGTATCCCGAGGTCTTGTGGCGGATCAGAGGCAGTCGTCAGCCCGAGGTTGACGTGGTGTGTGCGCTGTGCAGGTGACGAGACTCTGCACGCCAATCACCTGCGCGCAACTGCGAAGCAGGGTGCACTGCTGTCCTGCGTGATCAACGCTGTCACGCCGTCAACCTGCGACGTTGGCACGCCGTCGACCTTGTCGTGCTGGAACGCGGTCGACCAAGCTGCGCTGGCAATTGGCCGACCTGAATGCTTGCTCTGATGTAGTCTTGCTATGCCAACTTCATTATATCATTGTTGTCATGTTTTCCTAGTGAAACTCTTGCAAATTCTCCCCGTGAACTAGCAAGGAGCGTGAACACAAGGAAACGACTAAGTGAACGAACGCAAAGATCACACGAGCACACGTGCCTAGCCCGTAGCCTAGCTCCCGTTCCTGCAGTTATCTCCGCAGGGGTCTCACGACTGCGCTGCTACTGCTGGCGCTGACCACCACCGGACCCACTCCTCTGCGCAGAGCCGCGACCAGCTCCACCGCTGCCGCCGCCGCCTCTGCCACCTCGGCCGCCTCCGCCACCTCCGCCGCCTCCGCCACCTCCGCCGCCTCCGCTCCCTCCGCCACCGCCGCCGCCTCCTCCGCCTCCACTGCTGCCACCGACACCTCCACCCCCGCCACCACTCCCACCACCACCCCCACCCCCTCCACTGCCTCCACCACCACCTCCACCGCCCCCGCCAACCCCTCCAGCGCCCTTGCCCCCCTTGCCGTTGCCGGTGCGGCGTCTCCCGCTAGCAGCAGACGCAGCGCCGACCGACTGAAAACCAACGAGGTTGGTTGCAGCAGTAGAAGCAACAGAGGGCAAGAGGGGGGACGGGGAACACCCCTCAAAGACGGGGGTGCGAGGGTCACCACGAGAGGCTCCTACATCGACTATGCTCTTCTCTACTGCTAGGAGGCGCTCCTCGAGGAGGTCAACGGTAAGCGTGGTTGGGCAAACTGAGAGGAAGTGGTCCCTGACTAAGCGAAGGGAGTCAGGGAGCCGGGTGACTATGTAGTAGAGGGTGATGTACATGGGGGGGGGGGGTCTTGGCACAGAACTCAACTGGAAGCGCAGTGCGGTAGTGGTTGTCACTAGTGCGGAGGTGCGTAATGAGGTCAGCGACTGTGGGAAAGGCAGCAAGGTCAGGGAAGAGGTACGGTAGCATGAGGCGGCTCAGTGCAGCAGTGGCAGGGGAGGAGTAGCGTGCAACTACAGCGTCGTACAAGGTCTGAGCAATCTTGTACTGGCTAACGTGCGCGCGCTCAGTGGTCGGTAAGTAGCGACGCACAGCAAGACGTGCAGCAGCATCGCGTGTGGCCCACTGTGAGCGAACAGTGCTGTCACCAGTAGCAGGCAGGGCAGGGGAGGCACCAGAGGTGAGATCGAACAGGGAAAGTCCGTCTGCCCTATCGCACTCTAGGAACAGCTGGAGGTCATCGACCCTGACCTCAAAGTCAACAGCACGACCCTCAGTATCAAAGGTAAGAACACTAGGGGTAGCCATGACTGCAGTGGCCTAATAGGAAGTGATCTCACCAGTCCGAGTAAGTAGGGTTGGGGCGTGCCTGTAGGAACAGTAGTGGCTCGACGGCAGGGTGGCTCAGCAGCTCGGCTAATGGGCGGCTCGGCGGCTCAGCGGCTCAGCTGCTGGGCGGCTCGGCTGTCAGGCGGCTTGGCTGTCGGGCGGCTCGGCTGCTGGGCGGCTCGGCGGCTCTGCTGTTGGGCTGGTCGGTAGAGGCGGCTTTGGGGCCGCTAGGGGCGGCGACGGGGCCGCGTAGGGAGGGGAGCGGTGACGGGGCCGCTAGGGGCGTCTTCGCGGCCGTGTAGAGGTGGCGACGGGGCCAGCAGAGGCGGCGATGGGGCCGCTAGGGGCGTCGACGAGGCTGCGTAGGGAGGGGAGCGGCGACCGGGCTGTAAGGGGCGGCGACGGGGCCGCTAGGGGCGGCGACGGGGCCGCTAGGGGCGGCAATGGGGCCGCATAGGGGCGGCAACGGGGCCGTGTAGGGTGAGAGGCGGCGACGGGGCCGCTAGGGGCTGCGACGGGGCCGCTAGGGGCGGCGATGGGGCTGCGTAGGGGCGGCGACGGGGCCGCGTAGGGTGAGAGGCGGCGACGGGGCCGCTAGGGGCGGCGACGGGGCTGGTAGGGGCGGCGACTAGGCTGCAAGGGGCGGCGACAGGGCCGCGTAGGGGCGGCGACGGGGCCGCGTAGGGAAAGAGACGGCTACGGGGCCGCTAGGGGCGGCGACGGGGCCACTAGGGGCGGCGACGGGGCCGCGTAGGGGCGGCGACGAGGTCGCTAGGGGCCACTAAGGGCCTGGGAGGGCGGCAAAAACGACGCGCCACGGGCAGGAGCAACTGACGCTCCGGTCAGAAAGAAAATTTTAGTGGTGGGCCCAAGGAAGTGTTCCCACGAGGGAACCAGCTCTATACCATGTGAAGAAACAAGAAAGAATGAACTAGCACAAGGTTGGGTACAAGTAGGAAACCCTAGGAAATTGTACCCCATAGTGTCTACCCCACTATAGCCGAGACAAGCTATATAATATGAGTTTGACATTGGGATCAGGTGCGATCACGTACAACATAAGGAAATAGTAATTTCCCTGCGTTATTCAGCCTATCCCATGTTATGTCTTTTTAACGTGTGATGTGTAAATGGTTTTTGTATAAGGGTATATTAAGATACAAAAGGTGTAATCACATACGAAATCTGCAGAAGAAGGTGAATCCAAACTCCAATCAGTACTTGATCGTGCCTAGGATCTACTCTGGAAGGTTCGCACGCAGAGAAGTGATATTGGTGGGCCCTTGACCTCAATAGCAGAGTGAATGTAAAATGCTTTGAGATAAAAAAGAACATGCAAATACAGCAAATATAAATATGAGTATAGGGGAGATGAAACGACCTAGCTAGCCATGTAATCTAAGGGGTACATTCCCTTATTCAAATACATTCCCAACCGTGCGGCGCGAACAGTTACGAAACTGTTCCCGCCGAAACCATCCTGCCTGCAGCTGCCTGATGCTGTCTGCTCCGACGGTGCAGATGCGTCCCAACTGTCTGACGCTTCGAGTCGTTTCCAACCGTCTGACGCTTCGCGTTCATTCGCGATACTGCGTGCTTCTCTTTACTGCGGTGAGGAGTGCACAGTAATATTCAAGTATTACTATTCGTAACACCCCCCTTCACTCCTGGCCGCAGCTTGACTTAACCTGCTAGACCATGCCGCTGAGTTCGGAGCAGTGCTGATACTGCTGGCGTGGCAGTCGCTTCGTGAGGAAGTCTGCTGCCATGTCACCGGTCGGGCAGTAGGTCAAGTTGACCTTGCCCTTGACTACCTCATCCTTCACGAAGAAGTACTGTAGCGCAATGTGTTTGGTCCGGTTGACGAAACCAGGTTTGTTCGCGATGCGAATCGCGCTCTGGTTGTCGCAGTGAAGGCGAAATGTGGGCGAAGCTGGAATTTTTGCCTCTTGCAGGAGTTCCTGCAAGTAGAGGCCTTCGCGAACTGCTGCGGTTGCTGCGATGAATTCCGCTTCGGCTGACGACAGGGCAACCAGCTCCTGTTTCTGCGAGTTCCAGGAGATTGGTCCCGTTGGCTCGAGTCGGAACAGGAAGCCAGTCCTGGACCGTCGATTATCGGGGTCTGCTGCGTGATCAGCGTCCACATAGCCGATGAGGTTGAAGGATGGAGTTGGTGCAGTTGAGTAGCACAACCCAATCTTGGGCGTTGAAACGAAGAACTGAAGGGCGCGCTGCAGATCCAGAAGATTCTCAGCCGTTGGTTTGCGTGAGTAGTGCGCCAGCTGACTGGCGATGTACGAGAGATCTGGCCTGCAGGTGACAGAGGCGAAGAGGAGGCATCCCAACTGCTGCTGGTAAGTCTGAATCCCAGCAGGGGATAGGGGTTTGTTGTCGGGTTTATGGTTCGGTCCGGGAGTTCGGTAGGGAGTTGAGAGAGGTGCAGGTGAAATGTTGAACCGCTTCCCTAACTCTTCTGCGTACTTCGCCGCTGAGAGATGAATGGCCTCAGGCGCGTAGGAGATGTTGAGGCCTAGAAACTGCTTCACCTCGTAGTTGCACGTGATGTCGACGCGCCCCGCCAAGGCCTTCTCGAACTGCTCGAGAAGCTTGTTGTTTGAGCCTGTGTAAAGCAGGTTGTCAACGTACACCGTGAGGAGAATGTATTCCCTGCGGAATTCGCGGCGATACATCCCTGGATCGTGCGGCATCTGCTTGAATCCGATTTCAAGCAGGATGTTGTGCAGGTACTGTTGCCACAGCCTCGGAGCCTGTTTGATCCCGTAGAGTGACTTGCGCAGTTGGCACACACGGGAGTCCCCTCCGCCGTAGGTGTGCGGCTGCTCCACATAGATCACGGCGTCCACTAACGCGTACAGGAACACGTTCTTCACGTCGATCTGTCGGAGTGGTAGGTGCCTTGCAGCTGCAATGGCGAGCAGGATTCGAACAGAGCTATGGCGGCTAACTCGGGCGAACGTCTTGGTCGAAGTCGATGCCATGCCTCTGATCGTAGCCGCGAACCACCCAACGTGCCTTGAAGGGCTCGATCGTTCCGTCCGCTGCGGTTTTCACGCGGAAGACCCATTTCCCCGAGAGGATTCTTGCACCTTTGATCGCTGTGCGGTCGACTAGCACGCAGGTGTCTCGTGACTCCAGTGCCTTGATCTCTGCGTCCATTGCTTCGCGCCATTCCTTGCTGTGTGGTCCAGAAAGAGCTTGGCGCGGATTTCGGGGCTCGATGACACGTGGCGCCTTCGAAGTTGCGGTGTGAAGCCCAAGCAGCTGCAGTCCTGAGACCGTGCTGTCGTGGCGACGTTGCGGGATGACTTCCTGTACGTCGTCATCATCGCTTTCTGGTTAAGGAGGCGCTGGTGGTGCTGTGCCTCTGCCGCTTCCGCCTGTTCCGCTTCCGCCTACTGCGCCCATTCCTCCTCCCGAGGAATCGTCGTTGCTGCTGCGTCGTTCTTCCCACACGAACTCGCCCCTCGTGTCCTACTCCAAGATTGTTGCAGCGGCTTCGTCTTTGGGCGTTGCGTAGCTGTGCCCATCGTTCGCGTAGACGCGGTTCGCGTTCGTTTCTTCGCCGCGGTGGAACTGGTCGAGGAAGAGGCGCTCGTGGACGATGACGTCGCGAGCGTGAGCGATTTTCTGACTGAGGAGGTCCAGCACGATCCACGCCTTGTACTCGTGACTAATGCCGAGATCGATCCCCCAGCGCGCGCGGCTGGCGAAATTGCCGATGGTTGAAGTCGGCGGGCGGTATTGAACCATGCACACCCATAAGCGCAGCATGGAGGTATCCCCTTTTGTCCCGGCCCATTTGACGTGCGGGGACAGATTGTCGATGATGGCGGTGGTCGAGAGTAGGTTGTGCACCCGCACTGCGTGGTGCATCGCTGTGAGAGTACGACGGCTTATGCTAGCTATGCTTGCTTGCCTTTACTTTATTATGCTATTTCTAGCATAGCATAATTATATGCATGCATGAAATGCTTGATTTCCTAGGCTAGGTGCTTTCCTATCTATTATTATAGTTATAGCACCTAGCTAGGTTGCGTGCACCGAATTCTGGCTTTTCGGTTGCCATCGAATTGCCTTCTACCCAATTCGGGAAGGATCTATTCGGGACGCTTCGCGACCCGCAGAACTTTCGCGTAACACCTGGTTACGGGACCTTGTGTCGAGCCTATATATAGCCTCGTGTTGTACCCAGGTGATCATTCAATTCGATTCAATTCACATTCTCTTTTCTGAGCTCGATCCTAGATCACACACTAGGTAGTCAGAGCCTGTTCGAAGCGAAGTTTTTCTACCGCTAAAACCTAGCTTTTAAAACCGCGGAGGCGACGACGAAAAGCGCCGACTTCGGGTACGTAAACAAGTTCTGCGCTATTTTCTAACGTCCCTCTCGAACCGGTTTTCGAACTCTCCTCAGGTCCAGTGGCGACAAAGTTGGAATTTCGACCGTCGGATCGATTCGAATCTCAACGGCCATGGGAATTTCGACCAGAAAGGTTGGAATTTGGAGCGTCGGATCGAATTTCTTCTCAACAGCCGAGATCGGACGCGAATTTCAGTTAAGGGAGAATTACGCGACCTACAGAATCAACGCTCGTTTTTTCTACAGTCGATTCGACTCACAGTAAGATGACCAGCGCTTAGAATTCAAAACTTTTCATCGCACATTTTCCTGTAAATCGCCAAATGAAGGAAAACGGTGATAATTCCGTACGAAAAATTACGGAGTTACACACCGGCCTGGACCAGACACGAGCGGCACTCCAGCGAATAGAGGAGCTTCTCGCAAACCAGTTCGTAGCCGCCACAGCAGCAGCGGCGACACCAACACTTAAACCAGCAGCTACAGAGAATCTTGAGGCGGCACGTCCGAGGCTACCGGAAACCTTCAATCCGAATGCTAGAGACACCGACGTCCGTCGATTCATTGCGACCCTCGAAATTTACTTCGAGGCCGTTGG